TATATATATAGAGAGAGAGAGAGAGAGAGAGAGAGAGAGAGAGAAGGGGGAAGCAGGGGCTGGGACTGTAGCTTGATGGTAGAGCGCTTGCCTAGCACACGTGAAGCATGGGGTTCAATCCTCAGCACTCCATAAAAATAAACCAATAAAATAAGGCATACTGTCCATCTACAACTACCAAAAAAAAAGAAAGAAAGAAAGAGAAAAAGAAAAAGAGAAAGAAAAGGGGCAGGTCCCGCAGTGAGCTGCTGTGCTCTTGACTGGGGTGACCTTAATTGAGGGGTCCTTTTGGGGCCCTGGGAACAACAAGCTGTTCTTGCTCCATTCAGTTTCCAAGGTCCATGCTTCTCCTGCAAAAGAGGGCACTCCCTCAAGTCAACAGCAACCCCCTGGAGAAGCAACTGGGCCTCCCTGCAGGGGACATCAGGTCAGTGTGGCCTTTGAGCCCCTGAAGACTTGTGGGCTCAGTCACTGCTCAGCGAAGCCACCCCGTGGCCTTCTCTCTCTCTGTGATCTCCAGCAATATCATTCACCTCATCCCTCCACGAACCCCACCCATCCCCCCACCAGCTCTGCTTTCTTGGTACCTGTGGCCCCCCTCCCCCACCAGCCCCAGCCCCATCACCCTTTGACCTCCCCACCTCTAGTGTGCCCACTGTCCCCCCCCACTCCATCTCCATCATTCTGTCTGATCACCTCTGTTATCTCCTCCCCATCACCTCTCCCCATCATCTATGGGTCATTGCTCTGTCCCCATTCCCCTGTCAGCTCTGACCCTTTCTGTGTCCTTAACGTCCCCATCAGCCCCTGTTCTGTGGCTCTACCTCCCCATCTCCTTCATCTCTAGCTCCTTCACCTCCATGTTCACCTCCAGCACTTCTCTCCCCAGCTCTGATACTATCACCTCCAACACCCCTATCTGCTCTTTGGAGTGGGGAGGGTCTTGAGTTCTGAAACTCTAAAGTTCCCATCAGCCAGAGCTGGCCTTCAGTCTGCCAGACCTCCCCCTCTCCAGGTGGCATCAATCTAGCAACCTTGGGGCCTTGGGTCTCCTCTCTACTTTCATGGCCAGCCCTTTCTTCCAATGCTCAGGATGGCTCCAGATTAGCCACAGAGGATGAGGACAAGGAGCAGCCCCCAAGGCTGGCCCAGGAGGGCTCCTTGCCACCAGCCGCCCTCCTCCCAGACCCTTTGGCTGACCACAGTAAGGACTGGGTCTCCTCACCCGCCCCAGCCTCCTCCCTGGCCTCCCCCTGGATCTCCAGGTCCAGGAAGTCAGGGTGAGGTTGTGTCTGACTGCTCCCCTCCTTCCCCAGGGTACCAGGCACAGGACCTTGGACACCCCTGGAGCCCAGTGCCCTGTGAAGACTTCAACAGCCCTGGTAAGGAATCTAAAGTCCCTCTCCTAAAATAAATAAATAAATATCCTCTCCTCTGACCAGTGTGCAGAACTGGGGAGGTCTGGGGATAGGGCCAGCTAGCTGTGTCTCCTCCCCCACCGGGACTCCCCAAACAGCCACAACACCTAGCATTCAAGGACTTAAGTTTGTGTCAGGCGTCTTTCTAAGTTCTCCCTATAGACCTGCAATATAGAGGCTGCCATTGTCCCCATTTTACATATGCAGACGCTCGACCTTGCTCAAGGTCACACAGCTAGTTACTAAAAGGTCACAGCTCCTAAGGGGCAGTGGGAGAATCGAATCCAAGGGCTGCAGAGCCCGCAGCCCGAACTAATATTGAACTGTACTCCTGCTCCTCCTACCGCTGTGTTATTGCCGTTGCTGTTATTATTTCAACCAGTAATAAATCTTTGCTGGGAGATCCTAGAATCCCGAGATCTGGGCTAGGAGAGCCTCAAGGCCATACCCTCCTGTACAGGCGGTCCCAGACCCTGTGCTTTAACCACAGAGCTCGACTACCGGTTCGTCTCCACTGGAAGCTATCATTTTACTATCACCACTGCTAGAATATTATTGTGACTGATTGGGAGGGAGTGACAAATTCCCGAAGTGGGAGCCAGAAGGACCTCCCGGTGCGCCGACCGGCTGTGTAGGCTGGTGGCAGGGGAAGAGGTGGCCTGCCAACGCTCCGCCCGCGCCCTCTCCCTGGTGCCCGCAGATTACTGGCTGCACGTGCGTCTTTTCTATGGTCCGGCGCTGGTGCGCGAAGCCACCGCGCGCACCGCGGAGGGCTGCCATCTGAGCCCCGGGACAGCCGCCTCCGCCGCCGCCCAGCGCCTGCTGGGACCGCCCGCACGCTTGGCGCAGGTTCACTTCCCCGAGCCGCCGCCGGGCGCCCGCGTGCTGCGGCGCCTGCTGCCGCACCTCGAGCGCGGCGTGCTGCTGTGGGTGGCGCCCGAGGGCGTGTTCGCCAAGCGTCTGTGCCAGGGCCGCGTGTACTGGCGCGGCCAGCTAGCCCCGCACCTCGCGCAGCCCAACAAGCTGGAGCGCCAGCACACCTGCCAGCTGCTCGACACGCGCCGCTTCCTGGAAGGTAAGCGCGCTGTAGCTCCGCCCTGGACGCGGGACAGAGGGCTGGGCCGGGGGCGTGGTCACGCGGTAGCCAAAGGAGAGTGGGCATCCGAGAGGAGGATGCCGGATCTGGGCCCAAGCGTCCTGGGCTTGGGGTGAGCATCGAAACAAAGGTCACACAGCTCAGAAGCGCCAGGGATGGGAAAGAACATGGACATCAAGAGGGCTGGCCACAGATCCCTATCTAGGTCTATAAGGGGCGTAGGCGCCGGCATACTGAGGCCCTTAGATCTGTGACATAAGCCTAGGACTCAGGTACGTTTATTGGCATAAGAGCGCGGGGCATGGGGTGGGCATCAGAGCACTGGGCAGACATAGGTGAATAACAATAAGCATGGAGTAGGCCTAAAGACCTGAGAGTGGGCATAGGGACACCAGGGAAGGGACATGAACGCAGAAAGTGGGTGCAAATGTGGGACATAGCACAGGCACAAAAAAGCTGGCCTAGGACATGGGCACCCAATGGGGATGTGAGCTTACAGAACCTGGGCTCAGGATACAAGCACAAGGTGGGCACCGGGTGGGACGCCTGCTCGGCCAGCCACAGTCCCAGCCCCACAGTCCTGGTGCTTGCAGAGCTGCACGCCCACCTGCAGGATGGACGTCCCGAGCCGGAATACCAGATCCGCCTGTGCTTTGGCGAGGAGTATCCGGGTCCCCCAGACCAGCCGGAGGAGAGGCTTGTCATGGCTCACGTGAGTCACTCCCTCCATCCCAGGGAAGAACCACACCCTCCAGGCCCTCCTGTCCCTCTCCATACCCAGCCCCACCCCACCCAGACCTGTATGGCCCTCTGAGATATATATATATATATATATATATATATATATATATATATATATATATATATATATATATATATAAATGGGTGTGGGGACAAGGCTGTCACTAGGGCTGTGACTTCCCATGGAAACAGAGAGTTGACTGCCTCCGGTCCCCACAGGTGGAGCCGTTCTTCGCCCGTGATCTGCTCCTGCATGCCAGGCGCCTTTGCCCTGGCACCCCGCGGGGACCCCAGCAGGGCATCCCGGATGGCCTTTGACAGTCAACCCTAATCGGGATGCTTCCCCCTCTCCCACACACTAAAGGAAGCCCCACCACGGGGTGAGACACCCCAACCCTGCCCTCACTGAACCAGTGGACTTGGGGCCTCCCCCACCTATTGCCCTGATAGCGGACAGCTTAGGCGATGGTGGCCTTAACTCTCCCTGAAGGGAATGGATCCTGGAACGCCCAGCGGGGCGGAGGCCCGGCTGCTGGGCGCGCAGCATCAGCGGGAAATAGAATTCGACCTTGAGGCCCCAGGAAAAACAGTAATGGGGTTAGAAATAGGACTAAATCGCCTGTTGAAAGTCCAACACGTCAACAGCTGCTTAGAGCTAGTCTTATGGTGCCATTGGGTTCATTTGCTTAAAGCCTAGTTGACCTCAGGGTGGTTCAGAGTGGGAACAACCAGTAGCAGTTGCTTGGCCTCTGAGGGACTCTGGGCTTCCAGATCCTTCCTCCCAACTGCTGCTAGTCTCATTCCTTTATCTGAGGGACAATGAGGGGGAATCCCGAAACAGAGGATTTGAACCCTGGGTTTCAGATGCTAACCACTGAACCACCAGCACAGTCTTTAGAGAGTGAGGCAGGATCCCAAACATAACCCTAAGGCAGAGGCCACAGTGGCAATCCAGTCCCTCCCCCAGCCCCACTCATCTTCACAAACTGTGAGTCGTGGAGAGGACTGGGAGGATTCCCAACTGGAAGACTTAACCTAGATGTTAAATCCCCCCGCCTCATGGGTAAAGCAACATTTTTCTTCCTTTTCTGATTTCTGACTTTATTTATAGGAATCCTCTTACAGATGCCAACATAATAAATCTTTTAGTGATGCATTAATAAGTGCCTGTGTGTGTGTTGCTTCGGATTTTGCCCAGAGCCTCATACATGCTAAGAATGGACCGTATCAGAGCTAAACCCCCAGCCAGTAAGTTACTTTCATGGGAATAAAACTGTAAGATTTAACAAGGACAAAAGTCAATTAATAGCTGGCACAGTGGTGCATGCCTATAATCTCAGCAGCTTGGGAGGCTGAGGCAGAAGGATCATGAGTTCAAGGTCAGCTTCAACAATTTAGCAAGGCCCTAAGCAACTCAGTAAGACCCTGTCTCAAAATAAAATATTAAAACAGCTGGGAATGTGGTTCAGTGGTTAAATACCCCTGGGTTCAATCCCTGGTATTTAAAAAAAAAAAAAAAGTCAATTGTTGCTGGTTTTTCAGTCACTAAACAGACTTTTTCTTTTTTTTTTTTCTTTTCTTTTTAGTTTTCTCTGTCTTTTTTTTAGTTGTTGATTATATGCGGTGCTGAGAATCAAACCCAGTGCCTCACACATGCTAGGCAAGCACGTACCACTGAGCTACAGCCCCTCAACAGACATTTTTTTGAACACCTATTCTGTTCCAGGCCTCTTTCCAGTGTCCAGTGCTGAATACTAGGGATAGAGCAAAAATAGCACAATCCCTACTGTCTTGGGGTTCACAGCCTATATTCCTGTGACTGTCCCCTAATCTCAGGAGAGGCAGCCCTCTCAGAAAGGGTAGTGTTAAGGAGTTAAAGAATCCTGAATTCAAATCCTAGTATTATCATTCACTAACTGCGTAACCTCAGAAAAGTCACTTAACTTCTCTGAGCCTTAGATCCCTCTTCTATTCAAAATAAGCTATGAAGACCTCCAGATCAGAGTTGGTCCAAGGAGTAAACATAGTGAGGGGAGTGAGCTGGCCTGACACAGAGTAGGTGACCACTGTCTTGGCAGTGGGCAAGAGGGAGGATACTGACCCATCCTCAGAAGAGCTGTCCTCTGGGCCTGAATGGTGTCTGTCCTCCTGGACCCCAGCTAGAGGCTGCAGCTGGGGTGCCTTGGTGCTGCCTTCTGTGTAAGAGAGCCTGATGACCCCTCACTGTGGCCCAGATTGCTGAAAAGTTGCCAGCTCCATTTTAGAGATGGAGAAACTGAGGTTTGACCAGCATTTTCCTGATGCCTCCTGGGAGGATCTCTCTGCTCAAATGTCTGTCCTCCCCACACCTGGCACTAGAGGGCGCCAGGGCTCACAGAACTGGGCTCTGCCTCTGCTGGACGCCCTCCCCCAGGGCTGGCCGACAGGGTATGTGTGGCCTCCGGGGCTCTGGGTGGCGGGAAGGAGGTGATAGAGGAGGAGAGGAGAAGCTGGACCAGCGGTGGGGACTCAGGGACCCCTGTGGCTTCTCTCTGTCACCCTCTACCTGTCTCTGGTGGTCTCAGCAGCGCATACCCTACCCGACCTGGCATCTCTACCTGTCACTGTAGTCCCTGCTTCCTCTCTGTCTCTGAGGGTCTCTTCGTTTCTCTTGGTATCTGGCTGATTCCAACCCACCCTGTTGGCCACTTGCCTCTGTGTAGCCCGGGTCTCTCCCTGGAGGTGTGTCTGTGCATTTTGTCTGTCTGTACCTCCATCTCTGCCTGCTTCTCTCTCCCCCTCTCTCCCTCTCTCTGCTTCTCTGTTTCTGCCACTCTCTCTTTTTCTCTGTCTCGCTCCATCTCACATCCTGTCCCTCCCTAGCTGCTACCACCCAGCACATGTGGGCTGAGGGTCTCCGTCCCTTCCCTCCCACCTCCTCACCCCTGGCAGCTGCTCACAGGCCTCTCCTGCCAGCCCCTCCTGGGGCTTGCAGGGGGCGGTGAGGGAGGAGGGCCCGGTAGGCTGCTGGGCCCACCCCTTTTTGCCTTCCCAGGCCAGGAGGCTGGGCCAGTGGGCCTTTTAACCAGCCCGCACAGGCTGCTCCCGACGCCAGCCCTGGAGGCCGTGCCTGGCCTCTGTGGTCTCTGCAGCCACCAACCCAGCCAGCCTGGCCAGCATGCAGCAGCCGCCGCCACCACCACAGCCTGGGCCCTTGGCCCCGGCCACCGAGCCCACCAAGCCCCCCTACAGCTACATTGCCCTGATCGCCATGGCCATCCAGAGCTCACCGGGGCAGAGGGCCACGCTCAGTGGCATCTACCGCTACATCATGGGCCGCTTTGCCTTCTACCGTCACAACCGGCCCGGCTGGCAGAACAGCATCCGCCACAACCTGTCTCTCAACGAGTGCTTTGTCAAGGTGCCCCGCGATGACCGCAAGCCAGGCAAGGGCAGCTACTGGACCCTGGACCCCGACTGCCATGACATGTTCCAGCACGGCAGCTTCCTCCGTCGCCGCCGCCGCTTCACCCGTCGGGCAGGTGCAGAGGGCACCAGGAGCCCTGTCAAGGCACGCCGGGGACCCGTCAGGGCCACCAGCCAGGACCCCAGAGTCACCCACACCACGACCAGCAGGCAGTGCCCATTCCCACCAGAGCTGCCAGATCCCAAGGGCCTAAGCTTTGGGGGTCTGGTGGGGACCTTGCCAGACAGCACGTGCCCAGCAACTGCTGATGTCACCAGGCCTCGGCTGCCCGTGGAGCCCAAGGAGATGTCCACACCCAAGCCTGCAGGCCCAGGGGAGCTCCCAGTGGTCACTTCACCCTCCCCGTGCCCAGCGTTTGGCTTTCCTGCCAACTTCTCTGAGGCCGAGGGCTTTAGCAAAGCCCCCACGCCCGTCCTGACCCCCGAGGCAGCCGTCGGGAGCGGCTACCAGTGCCGACTGCAAGCCCTCAATTTCTGCATGGGCGCCGACCCGGGCCTGGAGCACCTGCTGGCCTCTGCAGCGCCCTCCCCGGCACCCCCCACCCCGCCAGCCTCACTCCGGGCTCCACTGCCCCTGCCAGCTGACCCCAAGGAACCCTGGGTCGCAGGAGGCTTCCCTGTCCAGGGAGGCTCCAGCTACCCACTGGGGCTGCCCCCCTGCCTATACCGGACACCAGGAATGTTCTTCTTTGAGTGACAGCAGCCTCACCTCTGTAGGGCCTCTGCCAAACCAGTGCCAGGCTGAGCCTGGCTCTAGGACCTGGAGAGTTCTCAAAGGACCAAGCCCCGGCTGGCCAAGCGCAACCTGGACGGGAAGCCAGGACTGGAGCAGCGGCGTTCAGCTGGGCCCTGGGGGCCCCTGGAGAAACTTGGGGGTGAGGGGGCCGGGGTCCTTGGGATTTGTTCTGTGGCTCTTGGGCCCAATAAAACCAGTGTGATGAAGAGGGGCAGCTTGCTGGGTAGTTGGGGTGAGGGCCGGAATGCTGGGTTCTACGTGTGGCGGTGGAGTGGTGCCACAGGGGCTGGGGACCCCTAATGGAAATGCCTCACTTGAGGCTTTCTCCTGCTGGGGACTTTCTTGGGGAGTTTCCCAGGAGCAGAGAATGAGGGCAGGCACAGGAGGGACTCAACCAAGAGACACCAGGCAGGGCGTGAGGCGGGGCTGGCCTAGGGGTCCGTCTCCAGCCCGAAACCGAGAGAGACTCAATGCCCTCCGCCCTCCATTAAGCGTTAAGCATAGCTATAATACTTAGGACCCTTTGTGACATTTCTTCTGTCCCAGGCTTGTATCCATCATCTCACCAGGGTGCCACAGAATGTGAGCCCCAATTCCAGTAACAGAAGCTGAGGTTCAGAGGGTCTGGCGTCCTCGGGGCTCACCTGAGCTAGATGGCAGATGAGTGACAGAGAGGAGATCTCAGCCAGGCCCGTGGGCTTTGACCCACAGTTTAAGGGAGATGCGGGGAGGAGAACCCCGGTTCCTTCCTCCTCCGAGGAGGAAGGGCTTCTTTGAGACCCTGGATTGTCAGGGCTAACAAGGTGCCCCTTGTCCCTAGTCCAGACAGGGACCCCTGGGCTTGAAAGCAGTACGGACCCCATTTTGTGGATTTCCCACATGAATGGGGACCTCTCCTGGGTTTCCTGGTGGCTCTTTATGAAAGCATTTCCCTGGGGCTGGGGCAGCCTTCCTGGCTGACCTGGGTACTGATCAGAAGTAGAGCTTGGCCCTTTCCAGTGTCCCCCTCCCATGGGAACAGGAGACATGAAGACACTGGTGGCACCCATCAGAGGAAGAGGCAGGGGAACCTCACTGTCGCGTCTGTCCTGAAGGAGCAGGCAGACGGTGCCCTCCCAGAGCCTGGTCCTCCCCTCCAGATCATGGGTACAGGGAGAGGAGAAGGAGCGAGGATGTTGGGGCACCTTGGTGTTGGCGTGGGGCCCTGAGGGTCTTCCGTCCCACGAGGTGACATCCAGGGTCCTGGAGATCCTTTCACTGGGGAGGTGGCCCGGTCTTCTCCAGAGCCCTCCCTTGGGCAGCTGGCCATGCTGACTTCAGCCCAAGTGGCTCCCCCCTCCCTCAGCAGGTCCCCTGGGGCCAGGGAGGAAGCGAGCCCGGCTGGACAGCCTGAAACGTCTGGTTCCCACAGACTCCAGAGCCGAGGTGGAGGGGGGACCTGCAGGGCGGGGGCTCACTGCAACCAGAAGGGGCTGGGAAAATGCCTGGCCAGCTGCAGGGGCCCCTTCTCCCCACGCCTGTCGCACCCCACCCCCAAGCCACCAAACAGTGGGGAGAACCATGAGGGTCTGTCCTGCCTCATGCGGACAGCTTCATGAGTTGGCGGGGGGTGGGGGGCGGAGAAGGGTCCTTTGGTGCCGGGGCATGGCCCAGGAGGGGGAAAGAGACCCCAAGGTGTTTGCCCACGGCAGGAGGTATGTGGCCATGCACGTGCTCTGTCACAGTTGGGTCGAGGAAGGAAGCCTCCGCTGAGCACCATTGCCCACTGTGCACTCCGGTGGGGCCCTGGTGACCCCAGTCTCCTCCCAACCTGTGTCCTGAGCTGGCAAGAGGATGGGAGGCCGACATCCTGTTCCCCACTGAGGAGGGGAGTCCCTTGGGGAAGAGGCCTGAGTCCCTGCTCACTCCCACCCTGGGGTACCCACCGCATCCAGCAGCCAACTCAGCTCTGGGCGGGAGCCCCCTCTGCACCCCTCCCTCTGACCCCTCAAAGACTCCTTCTCTGTCAAGAAGTGAAGACAGGCCCCTCAGCTCGAATCCCCAGGCAGGACGCGGGCTCGGCGCCTGCTTGGCCTCACTGCGAGCTGGACTGGCGCCCACCTCTCTGGGCCTTGGTTCTACTCCCTTTGCCCAGAGGGTGGGGGATGGGCAGCCTGACTCTGGGTCTGAGTCCCTGGGGAGGGTCTGCCCTGGGGGGTGGTCTGGAGGAGGTCCCATCCCCAGAGGAGCTGTGCCTGGAGGCCAGACACCATGATCTCATGTTGCCCCTGCTCACTGCCCAGCCCAGGGACCCCACCCTCTGGGCCTCCTGCCCTCACATTCTTTCCATGACCAACAGACACCTCTGGCTCCCTCCTGGCCACCCCCTTCTGGGTGGGCATTGACGGGGTGGCAATCTCCACACGGATTCAGACACTGAATCTGGGTCACCCAGAGAGAGCCTCCTGGCACACAAAAGGAGAGACTGAGGCCAGAGAAGGTGAGTGACGGCCGGAGCTCACACAGCCAGGCAGGACAGAGCTGCCCAGTGGGTCCATGGTCACGTCCCTCTGCGAGGTTCTCAGGGGACGGTCGGAGCCATTGGGTCTGACTGCACCTCGGGTGCCCTCCTCCCAGAGGCTGGTCTTTCCCAGGTGAGGACCCCCGGCCCCATCCCTCCCCACAGGTCGGAGCAAAAAAGAAGGATCCTGAGCGACCTTGCAGAGGGAGCCTGAACCAAACCCTAAAATGGCAGAATCGTGGTCTTTAAGAATATTCCAGAGTTCTTAATCACCGCGGCTCAGATTCTTGGAATATTGGAGTTGGCCGGGCGGCTCCTGCCGTGTTTCTGACTCCCCTCCCTGACCCCACGGAGGCTGCCAGGAAGGAGGAGGCCCCTTCCCATCAAAGCAAGGACTGTCAGGAAGCTCCTCACCTGCTGAGAGGACTCCCTGCCCGCCAAGGCCACCCTGCCCACAGGCCCGGCCTTCCTCAGCCTCCACGGGGCCTTATCTCCTCTCCCGCCCACCGCTTCCTTCCCTGGTTTATGGCATTCCAAGGCCGGGGTCACTGCTCCTTCCCACACCCCAGGAGCGCCCAGGCCAGCCGAGACCCTCTCCCCCAGAGGGTGGGGCACCGGGAGGCTGCCACAGTGAGCAGGAAGCCGCGATCAGTCTGGTGTGCAGGACCAGGAACCCAGGCCTGGGCCCAGAAATTGCACTCTAAGTGTTTGTTAAGTGAAATAAAAAGGCATTTGGGTCCTGGGCATGTCCCCCTTAACCTGACTTATCCCCCACCTGGGTGGTGTCTGGTTGCTGTGGAGGGAGGAGGACAGGATGCAGAGGGTTCTGACTGTGACCTAGTCGGAACAAGGCTTTGCCTCAATTTCTGGCCTCTCTACTTCCCTGCTGTGCAACCTTGAGTCAGTAGATTCACCTCTCTGAGTCTCGTTTTCCTCATCTGTGAAATGGGAGTAATGACTCCTACCCCGAGGACTGGTATGTGGGAAGTCCCATCCTGCTGGGATTAAAAGCAACCTGCCGGAGGACCTTCTACCCGGGCCAGTCCTCTCTGACCCTTCCTTCACACATGGCAAAAACCACATCCCTGAAGGTCCAGAGATGCCTCGTCCCTGCTCCCGCCCTGCGGTGGTAACTGGGTGGTGACTCAGGGAGGCAGCTGGTGGGGACGGAGGAAGCGGTTCCATGGCTAAAAACAGGCTAGAGGCCTGTTCCGTCCCCCATCAGCCCGAAGGCCAGGGCTGCCCCCTTAGGACCACGTCCTAGAGCCAGCCCTGAGGTCCCACTGGTCCCCCTCGGGTGCCAGGGAAGCCGGCCCTTCTGCTCCCTGAAGACAGCCTCCTCCCTGTTGGGCTCCCTTTCCATCCCTAGGGCTTTGCACTGGCTGTTCCCTCCCTCCTTCTGGAATGTTCCTCCCCACTGGAGGACTTCTACATTTTTTAAATTTTCTTTTCCCTCTTTTTTTTTTTTTTTTTTTGGTACTAGGGATTGAACCCGGGGACATTTTACCACTGAGCTACACCCCCAGCCCTTTCTGTTTGTGTGTTTGTAAGACAGGGTCCCGCTAAGTTGCCCTGGCTGGCCTTGAATTTGTGATCCTCCTGCCTCAGCCTCCTGCTGGCGACTTCTTAAAATCTAGAGCCCAAGTCAAACATCAGCTCCTCCAAGGAGGCTGCACACCCTGGGCTACTCCCCCTCTCTGCCCCTGTCCTTGCCATCCGGTGGCTTCTGTGTGCGCATATTCATGTTCCGGCCTCCACCTGAGGATGCAAGACTCAGCCCACCAGGTGGGGCCTGCCTTGTTCCTTTATCCTTGAGTCCTGGTCACCTAGTCCAGGCACCAGGGATTATATCTCAAGGACCCCCCAGGGCCCCCTCACTCAGAGCAGTAGCCCCTGTGGGGAAAGGCCTTGAGATCTGGCTGCGACTCCCTCCTCCCTCGCCCTCCAAGCCTTGGCCTGGCTCCTCCTTCTGCCTAGACCCGTCTCCCACCAGGACCACAAGGTCCTCTCCTTCACATTGTCCTTCAGTCTCTGCTCAAACGACCGCCATCCTCGCCTCTCCCCCAAGAGCACGTTCTACCTCCATTGCTGCTGGTCAGCTGCCGGCTCTGGAAGAAGCTCCACCCAGGCCTCTTATCTTCTGTTTGTCCCCAGCACCTAGAACAGTGTCTGGACCCAGCACGGGCTCAGGGAACAGCTGTGTGACAAAGGGCTCAGGAGCCTGCACCAGGCTCCACCCCCACACCTCATGCAACTTTGGCATTGACCCTGGGAGGCAGGGTCTATTATCATCCACCTTTCCAGACAGGAACTGGGGCTCAGAGAGGACCCATAATCGATTTGAATCCTTTCTGTTTGACCTGGAATTGGTCACTTGTTCCCAGCCCGTCTGCTTAGAGATGTCTGAGCTCAATACTTCCCAGCTCTCGAACTCAGTGGCCTCCTGAGAAGACACTGCCTGGCCTCCCCTGCTCTCCCTTCTCCAGTCTCCATTCACTGACCCGCCCAGATGCAGGAGTCCTTTTTAGTGCATGAATGTGATCATGTCCCTCCTCTGCTCACAACCCTTCATGGCTCCCTACTACCCCGAGTCAGCCTGCCCTCCAAACTTCTTCCCAACTTCTCCAGACCTACTTCCTGCTTCACCTTATACAAAAGCCCTACAGCGCCTGGTGCTCCATAAACACCACCCTTTAGAGTGAAGGGAAGAAGGGGGGAAGGAAAACAGGGGGGAGACGGCTGCCAGGTGGGATCGTGGGCCAGGTGGGCACCTCCCTCAGGACGGCCCCGGCCGCCTTACACGCCCAGGGCGGCCCCGTCACTGGCCGAGTCTTTTCCCACCACTGCCTGGTTGGGTCCAGGGTGGCTGGTGGAATTCAAGGCCACTAGACCCAGACAGGAAAAGGCAACGTCACCAGTCCGGGTGTAATCCAAACCAGATGTGGCCTCAGTGGCTTCCAGGCCCATGGGGGTGGTCACTGTGGGCCTGGCCAAGGCCCAGAGGCAGGAAATGGTCTTGGAGGAAAGCTTTCTGGGCTGGGGCCATCTGGGAAGGGCAGCCCCACTGAGGGGGTTAACCCTTCTCAGCCCGCGGGCGGGGCGGGGGAAGTGCCCCAGCAGCACAGCCCACCTTGAGGGGCCACAGGGATGGACACTGCGGGAGGCGCCCTGTCCTGGCATGTGGGCCAAGCGAATCATGCAAGGAAGAGGGCAGTCCACAGGCTGGCACCTTGGGAACCGCAAGGGACAGAGCCTCGGCCCGACCCTTGCTCAGGTTCCAGCTTGGCCCAAACCAGAGACCCCCTCCCTCCATCAGGGCAGCTCCCCGAGTGGAAAGCCTTTTGTCCCCGTGATCACCAGGGATGAGAGCCCATGAGAGGGCAGGGGCCCAGGCCGCCCAAGAGGTGGCCCCAGCTCACACCTGACTGTGCTCTGCAGCCCCAGAGAGAACAAAACCTCTCTGAAATCGTCTTTTCCCACCCACATTCTCTGCCTCCAAGGAGCAGGGGAGGCTCAAAGGAGGCCCCCAAATAACCCAAAGAGCTTTCTAAGATGCATTCCTGGGAGGAGATGGAGATGGGGGCCATCAGCCCTGTGCCATCGTCCTGTGTTGGCTTCTTGCCCAGGACTTGTTCATTTGCTGTGTGGCCTTGGGAAGGTCACTTTCCCTCTCTGAAGCCTGTTTCCTTACCTGTGAAATGTGCTAAAGCCCACCCCAGCCCATCCCTCCACTGTCCTAATGGCCGTAGGGGTGGCAGAGGAGAGCCTGAGGCTGCCATGGTCACATTACAGAGGAAGAAACTGAGGTGTGGCTGGGAGTCTGGAGGCCTGGGTTCTGGTCCCAGCATCAAAATAGTGGATGAGGGATCTTCCTCCTTTGGGCCTTGGTTTCCCTAGCTGGATCCGAGCCTTGAGTTTCTGCTTTGGCTGGACACGGCCTCCTCCCCTCCCCCTCGAGGTGACTCATCCCTCATCATCGTGTTGTGTGGCCGAGGCTCAGCCTGTGTGGGGGCCAGTGAGGCCAAAAGAACCACTCAGAGGAAACCGCAGGCCTGGCCCAGCTGGCAGGTGGCAGGGGACGGCGGGCTCCGGGGCCCTGGGGCCCCGCCCACCAGCAGGCCTCCCCACAGAGCCCACGCCAGGCTCCTGGCCCAGGTTCCCAGCCTCAGGAGTCAGGCACAGGTCCCAAAGTCCCCCAGGCCCACCCCGCGGGGCACCTGCACAGCGGGACTCTGCACCCACCTGCTGGAGCAGGGCGGAGCGGTCAGGGCCCTGGCTTCAGCCTCCAGGGCAGTGTTTGGAGAGGGATAGAACCAACTGCTAGGGCTCACCCGGGGTCAGGTCCAAGGTTGCTCGAGGCAGGCAGAGCAGGGTGAGGAGCAGGGCCCACCTCAGTCGGGTTTCAAATCCTGGCTCCACCACAAGTGTGTGACCCTGGGCCAGCGGCAGACCCTCCCTGGGGCTCCCCCCCCCAGCTGGGAAGCAGCAGAACACTCACCCGCTGGCCCCGAGAGAGGCCCAAATGATTGGAATGGGGCTCAGGGCACCTCTGCCACCCCGGGGGACCTCTGAGCCCCTGCACGCTGCACCACTCTGACCCAGTGGGGAGGACTACCCTACCAGGCTCCGACCTCCAGCTGTCCCTGCCAGTGGAGGCAGCCCCCTGCCCTGCTCCGCTGCCTGGCAAGTGGGAGGGACAGAGGGCAGGACTCTGCCCTGGGTCCCCTGGATGCCCTCACCATCGCAGGCACCACAGGCCACCACATCTGCCCACGCCTTGATTCTGCAGGCAGCAGGGTGAGCTCCTGGGCAGAGCCTCGCTCTGGAGACAGAAGAGTCCATTTCAAGCCCCAGCCCCTGACCCGCCTTCCAGCATCTTCCCCTTTCTGAACCGTCTCCTCATCTGACAGCAGGTAAGAACAGCTCCCTGAGCCAGGCAGTGGCCCACACCTGTCATCCCAGTAGCTCAGGAGGCTGAGGCAGGAGGATCGGAGGTTCAAAGTCAGCCTCAGCAACTGAGTGAGGCCCTAAGCAACTCAGGGAGACCCTGTCTCTAAATAAAGTACAAAATAGGGGCTGGGGACTGGCTCAGTGGTTGAGTGCCCCTGGGTTCAATCCTTAGTACCAAAAAAAAAAAGACGACGACCCCCCTGTGCCACGCTCCTGGTGCCCCAACCTGACAGAGGCAGAAATGATATAGTCTCGATATGAGGACTAACGAGATAACATATGCAAGCACTTAACCAAAGCCTAGCAATCACTGCCACCCAGTCACTGTGGGCTGCTGCTGTGCCCTCCTCTTCTGTGCCCTCCTCTGCTGCGACCTCCCTGCCACAGGTGAGAAACCTGGGTGCAAAGCAGGAACGCCTCTGGCCCAGATGGCGCGCTGGGCACTCTGGCTCCTAAGCCTGTGGGGGTGCCCAGCGCTCAGATGGACGTTGGAGAGCGCCCACCCGCAGCCGCGCAGAGGGAAGGAGGCCACGTCCGCGTCCAACCTGTACATTTATTTACAAGGCACAAGCTGAGAGCAGGTTGGGGGCTGCCCAATGGCCTTCGCACTCCTCCGGGACCTGCTGACCCCCTGCATCTGAGGCCGTGGGTGCCCCCTGGGATGGGTCCAGAGTGGCTGGTTGGGGCGGGCTTGACCCTCAGGCAAGCTCAGGGGTGGTCTCCTGTGTCCCCCAGCCTCACCCGGCCCCCTGCCAGGCCTGGGAGGGGCATCCCCCTCTCACACAGTTCCTGTGTGTTGGTGGTCACCAAGAAGGCGGCGGGGTGGCCAGATGGTATGTGCAAGGCCTTATCTGCTGGGAGTGGGCGGGGGGGCATGAGGTCCTCCTTCCAAAGCCTGCTTCTTCCGGGGCAGCTGGGCCTGAGGAACTGGGGGCTGCCTTCCTGCCTGCTCCAGGGGCCTCCGTCCATGACTGCAGGAGCCCCCCAGCCGTCCCACCCCAGCTAGGAGCAAGCCCAGGCCGGGGATGCCCCCAGTGGGCAGAGCAGGGGCCACCAGGGCAGCAGTTCAAAGGGAGCCAGTGGGGAAGGGGAGCGGCCGCAGTGGCCCTTGGTGGGGTCTGGGGTGCGGCGGTCGGCCAGAGCCGGTCTGGGGGGCGTTAGCTGGATGGATCTGGCCACACTCCGAGCGGCTCAGGTCGGGGAAGCGTGACTGCGCGCAGGGGCGTGGGGAGCCCCGAGCCTCCCTGCCCGGCGCAGCCTTGTCCTGACCAGCCCGCCCAGGGGTCTGGCCTGCCTTCTCGGGCCTTCTGGACTGTGTGGCCTCAGCCCTGGCCACTGTGCGGCTGCGTCCGGGCCTCAGCTGCTCCGGGGGCTCAGACCCCTAGAGCCATCAGGGACCCTGAGCTGCTGATCTTCTTGAAGCGGTTGGCAGCGCTGACAGCGATGAAATTTTTCTAGGGTAGGAGAGACAGGGGTCAGGGAGATGCCGTGAGGAAGCTGAGCGTCCTCTCAGGGTCCCCTTCACTCCAGGAGGGCCAGAGGATGGGGTGGGGACTGCCCAAACCAGCCACAGGATTGCTTCCTCCATTCATTCATCAGACTAAGTCAACCAGGCCAGAGCCCAGACCACTCTAGTGGCTCTAAGTAAAAAACCTCTTGTGGTGGCAGATAAGTCCCTTTGTCCCTGTCCCTTTGTTTCTCTCTGACCTCATTCCTACCCCCTCACTCACTCTACTTTCAGCTATACTGGCCTCCTACCTGTTCCTTGAACCCACCAGCTGGCTCTGCCACAGAGCCTTTGCACTGGCTGTTCCCTCTGCCTGGAATACTCTTCCCTCAGTTCTGGCACAGCTCACTCTGTATCTCCTAGAGGGCTCCTCAGCGATCCCTCCCTGACAGCTTATTTATAAGTGCAGCCTCTCTCCTGGCACTGCAGATTGCCCTCATTTTTTCCTAGAACCCATCCAGCCTTAATCCATTCCAACAACTCTCCATTTTCCACCCAAGGTACGTCCACAAGGATTGGGATCATGGTCTCTTGTGTCCACTGATGCCTAGAAGTAGTGGCTGTTTGATAAATATTTGGAATATGACCCCACACAGTGACGGGGTCACAGACCACTTTCCTGAGCCCCGGCCCCTGATGAGCCCCTCCCCAGATGGAGGGGTGGGCAGAGGGCCCCACTCGGGGGCAGGAGCCAGCCCAGGACGCAGAGAGGGAGGCCAGCCCTGTTTTCCAGGCCCTGGTGGAGGAAATGTGCCGAGGCCGGGCTGGAGGGGCCGGGATCTGGCACGGGGACTCCTCCCGCCCACCTCCGGTGCCCGGCGGTACCTTCCAGCGCCTCTTCATGAGGTATTTCTTAAGCAGGATCTGGGACTTGAGGCGGCGGTTCCAGCGCTTGGCTTTCTCGGCCAGGTTGTTGAGCCAGGGGTGGGCGAGGCACCGGGCAGCGCTCATGCGGGCCCTGTGGGAGGGGCGTCAGCAGGGTGACGGTGGCACGGGCCCCACCCTCCCCCGCACAATCACACGGAGGCTCACCCCTGATCCTTGACGATGAGCTTGGAGACAAAGTCTTTGGCCTCATCCGATACGGCCTCGAAGGTCTCCTCGTCAAAGTACCAGTTGGCAGACAGGACGTTATTTAGGGTCTCTGTGTCATCATCTCCCAGGAATGGGGAGAGGCCGCTCAGCCTGGAGGAAAGAGGTGGCAGGGGACCGGGAGGTGAGACTGGACCTGCAGAGTGGGCGGGGGGTGGGCAGAGCCTCGGAGGCACACCATGTGCTGGAAAGACCCCCGGCTTCCCGAGTGGGACAGACCTGGGTTTGGATCTGGCTGGGTGACTTTGGGTAAGTCACTTCCCCTCTCTGAGCCTCACTCTTCTCATCTGAAAAATGGGCATGATCATCCCAGCTCCCCAGGGAAGATGAGGAAGGACGAGTGCAAGGCCCGGTGATGAGCGCACAAAAAGTATCCACTGCCCCTCTGCCCCGCCCGGGTCGCCTGCAGCCTGCCGTCCAGGACCCTGGGCTGAGATGCTACGCCTCTGGGGGCCTGGGCTTTTCCATCTACGAAATGGGTACAAAAGCCCCTTTCCTGGTTCTCCCAGTGGGTGGGCCCATCTCACCAAGACCCCGGGGCCCACCTTGGCCTCTGCTGCCCCTCCCGTGTACCCCAACCTGCCCCACAGTCGCCGCCCTCCCCCGGGGCTCACAGCATGTAGGTGATGACCCCCAGGCTCCACATGTCTGTCCTGTCGGAGATCTGGTCATAATTCACCACCTCAGGTGACAGGAACTCCGGGGTCCCAAAATTCACCTTCAGCTTCTCGTTGGGGTTGTACCTGGGGGTGCGATCACGAACTCAGAGCCCCAGCCTGCTCCAGGCACTCTCTCCCCTGCCCTGGCCCTGCCCACTCAGAGGCCGGCCCTGCTGTCCCCCGCACCCAGGTGGTACCTCCGTGCCAGGCCAAAGTCGATGATCTTCACCAGGTGGCCCGTGGTGTTGACACACAGGATGTTCTCTGGCTGCGGAGACGGGGTGACCTGGATTGGCCTCTGATCCCGCTCTCTGTCCCTCTCCACCCAAGACCAGGCTCCCCGACGCGAGGCCCAAGTTGCCAGTGTGGGCAGCCATCAGGGGCCGTCCACTCTGACTGTCCCTGCACAGAGAGGAGGCTGAGAGCCCCAGGGGGCTCGTAGGAAGGCTCAAGGCTGGAGAACACTCGGTGGGTTTGGGTTGACTCCCCTCCCTCTAAGCCACAAAGAACAACGTCCTAGCGATTCTGGGGGGGACTGAGGTCTGCAGAGGAGAGAGGTATGCCCGGGTGGGTGGCCAGGGCAGGGCCACCTCCAGGCTGTGGAGCGCCAGAGTCCCAGACCAGAACACACCAGCCCAGGGCTCCCAGGGCTGTTACCCCAGGACGCAGCCGCCATTCACCCCACTTTATGGCCGAGAAAACTGAGGCTCAGACTCAGAAGTGCCATGGTGGCCCAGAAATAAGTGACAGAACCAAGATCTGAGCCTGGATTGTCAGACTTCAGCACTGGCCTCCCGAGGTCCCCGCCAGCCAACAAGGTCCCACGTTACACTCTACAGGGTAGGCCTGGGGTGCATGAAGTGCTTGTGGGTTGGTGCAGGGCAGGGACCATCTTCTCCCAGTCTCCTTAGTCCATCAGTGACTAGCCAAAGCATTCAGTAGGTGCTCAACAAGGCTCAGAGGAAATCTGCTTGTCCAGCTCCGGTGAGTGTGAGGAGGATGCTCCCCAGCCTGTTTCCTCTTCCTAGAACACCACCCAGGACTAAGCCCAGTCCAGGGCAGACACAGGAGGGTCCCCGTGGCTTAAGGCAGGTTCCACATAAACCCAGCACCTCCTGGAGATGGAGGCCCAGCCACAGGGGCCTCCTGCAGTAGAGGGAGACAGGACCAAAGTCCTTGAGCCCCCTGGGTCTTCGCCACAACCTGTCACTTGGTCTCTCTGGGTGTCTGATTCGAGGCCTTTAACCAAACGCTTCCTGAGGCCTTTGCAGAATCCATGGCTCACTCCGCCAGACACAAGTGACCTCCACGGTTGGGCCGGGTCCCACCAAGACAAGGAAAAGAAAGGCCCCAGGCAGCAGGCACTTGAGGGAAGAAGCAGACTCAGACCTCCTTTTGGAGATGCTCAGGCCACACCCAAGAGGTCCCCAGAAGCCCTGCAGCCACGAGTCCTGGAGAACAGCCTTGGGCTGGGGAGCACCCCACTCTCTTGATCCTGGCAAAACCCTTTTAGATGAAAATCTTATTGTTATCCTGAAAACCACACTGCGGGTCGACCTTCCCCGGAGGCAGTGCATTTGATTGGGGATCCTGTTCTAGTCCCCAAAGGAATTGGCTTTCAGAGGGGAATGGCAGACCTCCAATGTCCCCACGCAGGGACCAGTTGCCCCCAGTAACTCTGGAGTCACCTTGATTCTTTCCTGCCCCTGCCCCCACTCAAACCATCAGCAAATCAGCTTGGCCCAGGCCCCATCCCTCTCTGAGGGTCTCCCCACAGTCTCCTGAGCACCCCACGCCTGCCCTGGCCCCATGGAGCCATCTCTTTACCCTCCTCCCTCATCATCACAGGATGGTGACAGGGCACTTTCACTACGCGAGGCCCAAGAGGCAGTTGGAAGGATCCCATGACCACGCGGCTCGGATCGAGCCTGTCATGAGGCGACCCCAGTGGTGTCAGAGCCGCCTCCTGCCACCCGCTCCCGACCTCCCAGTCTCTGGCTCTTGCCTGTCTCTGCCCTCACGGGCAAGAGGCAGAGAGCCACGCTTCCTCGTTATTGTTGTGCACTTTCCTGTAACACTTTTAATAATATTTTTATGGGTATAGATGTATATATGTATTAACCATTTCTTCTTTTTGGGGGGTTGAACTCAGGGACCCTTAACCACTGGGCCACATCCCAGCCCCTTTCTCTATTTTATTTAGGCCCCATCTCATTGAGTTGCTTAGGGCCTTGCCAAGTTGCTGAGGCTGGCTTTGAACTTGCGATCCTCCTATCTCAGCCTCCAGAGCCACGGGGATTACAGGCATGTGACACTGCACCCGCCATAGTAACCATTTCTAAGTGTATTCTTTTTTTTTTTTTTTTTGCAGTGCTAGAGATTGAACCCAGGGCCTCGCACATTTCAGGCAAATGTTCTACCATTGAAATACACCCCCCAGGCCTCCGCACGTTCTGAATGGTTTATAATGCTAATTATCGTCATTATTATTAGTCATGTTATGAATGTCCGTTTCCCCCACTAATCTGTAGGTTCCCTGGGACAGGTATTCTGTCCTTTGTGGTCCTTACGGGAAGACCTGTGTTAGGGGTAGTCTAACCTGCTACTGGGCAGTCCCTTCCCATCGCAGATACTCGGCATGTGTTTATCAAGTGAATGAATGAAATCCACCCGGCTGGTGGCACTGAAGCACTCGGAATTAACATTTCATCTCTGCTAGCCTCGCCACTTATCCCACAACATTAGCACCTGCTGTAAGGGTACCTGGTACTGGTGCTGCCCCTCCCTACTCCACACCCGGGCAGGTGTCACCAAGCTCCGGGCAGCCACTACCAGCCAACAGGAGTTGATGTGGTACATGATTCCAGGTAACCTCCCGACCTACTGCATGCCTGGTGCCGTGCCAGGTCAGAAAGGGACATAAATATTTTCCATTAAACTGATGGTGACACCCACATCTCCTGCATTGGTGCCTGGACAATACTCTCATTGGTTAGCTCCAAGAGGGCAGGGGTCAGTCTTTATTTGGTTCAGCCTCAGATCTCCACCATGGAACGCTGGCTGGCAGACAGCAGGCCAGAGACACATATTCGTTCTTTTGAATAAATGAACAAGTGCTCATAGTACCTATCACAGGTCAACACGGAGGCAGCTGCTTAGCCACCTGAATGTGAGACACGCCGAGCCTGGAGCTCACGGGACTGTAGAGGATCCTTTAGCATCCAGGCCCGGTGGTGCACACCAGTAATCCCAGCAGCTCGGGAGGCTGAGGCAGGAGGATCACGAGATCAGAGGCAGCCTCAGCAATTTAGCAAGGTCCTAAGCAACTCAGTGAGACCCTGTCTGTAAATAAAATATAAAAAGGGCTGGGGATGTGGCTCAGTGGTAAAGCACCCCAGGGTTCAATCCCCAGTACCAAAACAATAAAAAATATTCTTTAGCAAATACTTAGCACCGGACCAGAAGTTCCATGAAAACTGGAATCACAGGACCCCCAGCTCCTGGTACTTAGTAAGTATCCAATGCCCTTTGAATCTGTTACTGGAACGATGGATGGAAGTGGGGGTGGAAGACCACTGGTGACAACGCGGACATTGGGTGTTAGTGGTTAGTGCCCCATCCCTTTTGGGAGCCCCCGCCCAGTACCTTGAGGTCCAGGTGCAGGACCCTCATCTTGTGCATGAAGAGGATCCCGTCACAGATCTGCCTGACGAACACCATGGTATCCACCTCGGTCAGGTGGTAGTCTTCATCCACGATCCTCTCGAAGAGCTCGCCACCCTCGATGCTGCGTGCACAGACCACAGTACAGGCTCACCCTGGGGGGCCGGCACCCACCCCCCGACCCACCCCCCAGCTGGTACTCACTACTCCATGAACAGGACGATCTCGTTCGAGGTCTCGATGGCCGCATAGAGCTGGATCAGATTGCGGTGGTTGAGCTGGTTCATGACCTCGATCTCCAGCATCACCATTTCCTGGGGACCGGTCAAGCAAATCACTCCCTGCCTCCAGCCCCCAGACCTCACCCTTGGCCAGACCTGCGGGTCCCTGCCTGGACCCCTGCCCAGCCTCCTTCCCTGCTGGCCTCTGTGCCTCTGTCTCCCCACTTGCTGAGATCTCTCCTTGGAAGTCCACATCGACGTCCCAAGTGTCTACTGCCTGCAGGGGTCTGTTCCCAAACACACATCTTGGCCTCTGACCCCGTCCTCCAGCTCCACACCCCAACACATCAGCGGCCTGCCTGCCCTTCCCTGGGAGGACTGAGAAGGAGCGCAAACCCATCGTTCCCCAGAGGAAGCCATGGATAGCACCTTCTCCACAGCTGATGGGCCCCGGCTTGCTCGCAGCAGAGGGGCAAAACGTTAGGAGCCACCTCAGCTTCCCCTGTCCCTCGCTTCCTCATGCCCCACATGGGAGCCACTGGTAAGTCCTTCAGTACAGGCCACTTTCAAACTAGATGATGTGCCGGTCATTTCTCACCTCCCCACACCGCCTTCTTAGTCTAAGTCACCAGTATCTATCACTTTCAAGAAGTGTGCCAGCCTGTTACCACATTGGTAGGTTGGTATTGGCTCTGGGTAGGGATATTCACACCGCGGGAAACCTCAAATGCCACCCATCAGCCGGGCGCAGTGGCGCACACCTGTGATCCCAGCAGCTCGGGAGGCTGAGGCAGGAGGATTGTGAGTTCAAAGCCAGCCTCAGTCACTTACGTAACTCAGTGAGATCCTGTCTCTAAATAAAATACATAAAAAGGGCTAGGGTTCGATCCCTAGTACCAAAAACAAAACAAGAAAAAAATAATGCATTCCTTGCTACCATGCTTAGAGCCATGAAGGGCTGCTGTGCTCCAAGCTGCTCCATGTGCACCTGCTGTGCTCTGGGCCTTTGCATATGCCACACTTGGTTGCCTCTGCGGAAAACATCATAACCTCACTTCTTAGCACCCCCGCTATTTCTGGTTCTTGGTGCTTACTTTCCTCTCATGGTCTCTCTCCTCTTCCTCCTCCTTTTCTTCCTCTTCCTCCTCCCCTGTGCTGAGGATGGAACCCAGGGCGTGGTATAGGCAGGCGCTCTACCATGGAGCTACACCCCATAATGCCTTCTGCCTGAAACTCCCTCCTGCTCTCTCCTCCAGAACATCTCACTCTGAAAAGCCCTTGCTCAGGAGAAGCTGGTCCAGGAAGCCTCCCTGACCCCATGGCTGAGTCAGGGCCTCCCTGATCCCACTCCTGAGCCCCCGACTCTCCCGAGTTGCGGCTGTGAACACCTGGGCAGGAGGCCATCCTCACCCCCACACCAGCCCCTGCTCACCACCTGTGCCCAGCTGCCCGCCCATTCCTGGGACAAACATTACTCATGGCCTCTGCGCTGGGCCCAGGCTGGGGACTAGAGACGCTCTACACTGGGCCCTTCCACCTTGGTGGGGACAGGGACCGTAGCCACACACTTTGAGACTCTAGTGCCCAGCACAGGTCCTGGCCCAGAGCCCAGCCTCACCAGCAGGGTTGAACTGAACCCGGGGTCATGAAGAGCCAAGCCTGGAAGGGGGGAGTCCCCAGAGAAGTTCACTAACTGAAAAGTCTGGTGTGTGGTGAGGGCCCCGGGCTCCTGCAGCAGAGCTGTCTGTCCCTCTGTCTGTGCGGCAACTTCAGTGCAACGATTTTCCCACCAGGCAGAAGGCGGTGAGAGGTGCCCACTCAGGCACTGCCCGCCCTGCCAGCCAGCCCCCGCCCCCGCTACCTTGTCTTTGGGGGTCTGTTTCTTGATGACTTTGGCTGCCAGCTTGAGGCCTGTGGCTTTCTCTGTGCAGGTACACACGGCGCCAAACTTGCCTCTGGAAAGACGAGAAGCCGGGAGTGAGGGGCTCTGAAGGGCAGGGGGTCAGCAGGGCCCTGTGCACTGCTCCTGTCTTGGCCCCAGACCTGATGGTGACTCTGGATCCTCGTCTGGGAGGTAGGAGCCTTGGCCCAAGCCAGCCCTGCTGCCCTCCGGGAGCCGGGTACCGGCTGAAGGCAGGCTGTGCTTAGGAAGGGCAGCTCCTGGGCAGGATGGCCCTGGAATGAACCCTTCCAGGCTTCGGAGGGGCACCCTGGGCCCTGGGGAGGCACCTTCAGGCCTCAGGGAGGGAGCTGGCTCTTTAGTGGTACCAGACCGAGCCAGGATTGTTACCAAGCAGGAACTGCAGGGTCACTGTGGTCCTAGAGACAGACAGGAAAATCCTGTGTATTTCCTCTGGGAACACTGAATGACCAATGGTGTGTCCATGAGAGGGACAGTGTCATCTGTATGAGACAGCCTGTGCACGTGTGGGCACATAGAAGTGACCGTCTCCACGTGACCTGTCCCCTAGTGAGCTGTGTCTGGACCAGGGTCTGGGTGCCCACCCACCTCTGGGTCCCAGTTTGGGGTCTCAGCTCTCACCCTCCCAGCGCCTCCTTGGAGTTCATGCTGAATTCACTGCTGACATTTCCGGTCCTCAGCTCCACAATGCGGTGTGGGAAGGGGGCGGGGGGTGGTGGGCAATCATCTGGGGAAGCAGAGCAGAAGGTCAGTGTCAGGACTGCTGAGGATGAACTCTGTCACCCCTTGTCCGCCTGCCTGGGTCCCTTCCAGGGAAGGTAAGTTCACTGAATGATCACTGGGACACCAGGAGAGGTGCTAGGGGCCCAGTTTCCAATCTCCAGTTCCATGACACCTAAAATCATCTTGGAAGAATCCAGTGTGCCTGGGCAGGACCATGGGAGAGCTGATAGGACTTCTGGGACCCTCCTACTTTGTAAGGTCGGGTACTCCATCCCGAAGTGTCTTTGTTTCTATTAAAACAACCAGTACAGCAGCCGCCAAGTGGAATCCCAGACAGTGGGGCTGCTGGTTGGGGCTGGGACCTGCCCTCCCTCGCGGCTGATCTCGCCACCCGGACCCGGACGGAGCAGTTCGGTGGGGGATGGCGCCACCTAGCGTCCCCACGGGGAACTGCGGGCCCCGCGGGCCTGCGGGCTGAGTCATCGGGAATGGAAACCTCTTTATAAATAGCAGGAGGCGGCAGGGAAGCCGGCCGGTGATAAATCAGACGGCCCTTGGAGGAGGTTCAGGTCCCGTCTCGCCGAGGATGTGATCTCAGGGCGGGGCGGGGGGGGGACGGAGGTCTGTGCCACCGCTGGGGGCAGGAGGCAGGGCTGCTGGCCGCCGCCCAGCCGCCAGGTCCTCCCACCCAGTCTGGGTGGCACTGTGCCGCTCACCAGGCAGGCTGGCGGGTCTCCCGGGGCACCTCGGCCGGGAGGGGGTGCGGGTGGCGTCCGGACACTGGGCTCTCCTGACCCCATCTCACCCACCCCAGCCCTGTAGCGTCCCTGTCGGGGCCCCTTCCCTCTTCGCCCCCTCCCCAGGTCCACTCATACTCAGGGCTCTCTGCTGCCCACTCACAATCGCCCCTGGCTCCTGGTCCGCAGTCCTGCCCCATCTCATGCACAGTTCCGTGGTCCCTGGTCCCACACACAGACACCGGTGCTCCTCAGCTCATGAACCCTCTATGGCTCCCAGAAGCCCTTCCCCCCAACCTGTAGTTGACCAAAGCCGGGCATTTGAGCCCTTGTACAGATTGACCCTCAAGCCACACTGCATTGCAGGTTCTTGCTCTAATAACCTGCCTGACTTTTTCTTTCTTTCTTTCTTTCTTCTTTTACTTCATTTTAGTCAAAGTAGAATAAAATCTAAATTGGGAATCAGGCTGCCTTCGCTTATGCTGGGGGGCGCTTGGCTTCCTCTCTTCCATTTCTATCCAAAGGAAATACTTCCTGGGGCTACGAACATTCAGTCTGGTGGGCCTGGGTGGGGCATGGCTCAGGGCCGTTCAGTCCCCTGAATGGGGACTCTTGGGACTGATGGGTCCCTTCCCTCCCCCCACCTCTAGGGCAACCCCAGTCCGCCTGCCCCTGGCCTACCCAAAATCTGGAAGCAGTCCTCTTCCCTGGCTGTCAGACAGAGGGCCTGCCCCACCTCCGATCTCTCTGAGGGAACAGCCTGGAACTCGATCCCCCTCGAGGTGTCCCCTTGCACCTTAGCCTGGCCAGCCTGGCCTGGGGCTTTGTCTTCGGCTTCCTTCTGGCTCCCTGCCTGGATGTTCTTCCCTCCTTCTGCCTTGGCTGGCCCAGGATCTGTGGGGTCAGGGGTCACCGGCACCCCTTCAAAGATGAGCTCTGATACCTCGCTAGGGGGCTTCTCCACGAGTGGCTTCTCAGAGCTAGAAAGTAAGAACAGAGTTGAAGCTCCCGGCAGCCGCCACCCTGAGCCTAGGCAGTGCTCCACGCTTCCAGAACCTACCTCACCTGCAGCGCCCGCCCCTGCCCCCAAATACATCCAAATTCACTTTGTGCAAAATCAAGGAATGGTCATCATCTTGACCATCAACCCACTAATAGGTCATTATTAACTATTAATGGGTTGCTGATATCATGTAGATACAGCTAAGGAGCTACGTAGCTGGGAAGGGGGGTCCTAGGGTTGGAACCCAGAGCCCCGAGCAGGCCAGCCAAACATTCTACCGCTGAGCCACATCCCGAATCCTTTTTCTTTTTTCTTTTGAAACAGGGCCTCAATAAATTGTCCAGGCTGGCCCTAAACTTGCCAGCCTCCTCCCTCAGCCTCCCAAAGTAGCTGGGATTACAGACGGGTTCCACCTCACCCAGTTAAGTAGCTCGTGATTCTTAAAAACTGTGACCATGAAATTGACATTACATGATTATCAGATTGCTATGGTGTGATCCCTGTGATGGCAACACATCAGGAATGACTTCAGGTGTACACAACTGATTGCAACATGGGACCTGTGCTGTATGATGGTTACCAAAGTATTAGCATTGACTACCAAGCTATTAGTCATCTTTTCATATTATACCAATAAAATTAGAATAAGAAGGGTTATCCTTCCCCCAAGGTCTTGGCCAGACCTAAGTCCACGGAATAAGGGGGACTCTTGACCCCAGATGCCTAGAAAAGGAAAGAAAAATTCAGCCTAGGTGCTCTTTGGGGATATCTCCCACCTAACATTCCAGGTCTGGTTTGTGCAGGGACAAGATGTTTAACCAATGCCCAGGACAGAGGGACCTGGACATCAGAACTCCCCTCCCGGAACCGAAGATGATGATGTCCGTGGCCAGCTAGGGGACCTGAGCATGACCCCGGGGGTCAGAGCCACCGCCCCCTCCCCGCTCCCAGGCAGAGGGTGTTCACCTGGAGATGGCCGCGGGGCAGCTGGGGCTGTGCAGAAAGGCCGGGGAGCCCCTCCTGGCGGCGGCCTGGCCCTCGGCTGCCTTCCTGCCCATCTTGGGCTCTTCGGGGCCCTGGCTGCCCGAGGGTCCCTGCTCTTCACTGGACTTCTTGACACTGGCCTCGGCCGTGGCCGTCTGCTGGGGCAAGGCTGCCGGCTGCCCAGCACTGCCCTCCGCGGGCCCCCCGCCCCCATCCCCCTCTCCCCCGGGGCCCTGGCTGCCGGCTGAGGGTTGCGCGGGGGCGCCGTCCCCTTTCTCTGGGGTGGGGGCTTTGGTATCTCCCTTTGGGGGGCATGGGTCAGGATCTTTCTTGGGGTCTGGGGGGCCAGGGTCCTTCTCTGCAGCCGGAGGTCCTTCACCTGCAGCACCTGTGGGTGCCTCTTCTGCAAAGAAGGTGAGACACCCATCAGGACCTGCCCTCCTGGTCCTCCCCCCCAGTCAGCTGGGCAGAGACCAGTTCTGGGCTCAGGTCTCCACTCGGAAATGGCTTGCAAATGCTGGCCCCACTGGGCCTAGGGGCCACTTGGTGGGCCCTAGAAATGAGTGCCAGGACCTCGGAGGCCTCGGTGGGAGGCTTCTGTCCCTTTGGGTGGGCCTTGCTGTCCCTCCCTCCACTCCTTGCCTAAGGTGTGTAAGTGGGTCCCCAAGAGCCATCCACGGTGGCTTCACCCCTCCTGGTCTCTCCAGGAAGGGCTTCCTGCAGGCCCTGGACCTAGCCCAACCCTACCCAGAGATCATCCTGATGTCTGAATCCCCATGCACCATGCAAAGAAACTTCGGCACAGAACTCCCTCCGAGGAACTGCCCAGCCCTGGATTCAGACACCCCTTCCCAAGCTCCTCCCTCCATCTTCGGCCCCAGCTTGGCACCTGTTGATGGGCTCTGGATTCCCAGCTCCACTGCTCCGTTTTCTGTCGCCATGAGGTAGGGAGGCGTGTGCTTCTGTTTGTCTAACTCAAGTCTTTCTAGCTGCACAAAGAAGAGTGAGGTATGTCGAGCTAGTGAATACCTCCTGTGGTCTGGCTGTGGCCAGAGGAGGCCAAGGCCAGCTGACTTGAGGGTAGAAACATACCTGGAGCAGAGAGGGACAACCTGGTGGCTGCCCGTCTCGCAGCGGCTGCTCGAGAAGAGTTCTGGGGAGGTTGTAAGGGATTGGGCCCGGTGGGCAGAGGCGGAGGCAGGGGCACGGGCAGTGGAGGCGGGGACGGAGAAGAGGATCTCTTACACCAGGGGCCATGTAGCCCAGGCTGCCACCACCTGTCACTCTTGGCCCCCGTTCAGAGGACACGGCATTCTTCCCACGGCCTGGCTGGGGGGAGAATGGTGTGGAATAAGCAGGAAGAGAAAAGGGAGGGGGCCCCAGGGGGAGCAGCCCTTTCCCAGGCCTTGCCCAGTACCCCTGACTTGGTCAAGACCAGAGGGGGACCCTGGCAGGAAAGGGCAAAGGGCAAAACTACACCCAGGCCCAGCCCGACTCTGCCACCTGCCTGCTACAACTCCTAGGTCCCCCAGAATCTGAGGAAAGCCCGCAGGTCCAGGGACAATCACCCTGACCCAAGTACCACGCTCTGTGCCTCTGGCTCTGGACCTACTCGGACCATCTTTGGGTAAGAATTGTCTCGGGGTACCTGCTCGACATGTCCACAGGCCAGAAAGCTTTTTCCTTAGATAAAAGGGATGGTGAAGGCTGGCTGAGCGGCCATGGGAGCTGGTCAGTGCCCTGGGCCCCTCTCCTGTGCAGGTCCAGTTCTCTCTGATGCCCCACCTGAAAGAAGGAAGCTGGCAGAGTCTTTTCAAGGATGCTTTACTTCGGTGGGGACCTGAGGGACAGCCTGGTCTGAGGTGTTGGAGCTGGACAGGGAGAGCTGTGCTCTGAGGAGCCTTCCCTCGCCTGGGGGCTGCTACCCAGACTTCCTCTGCGGCACCCTGATCCCCAGGGTGGCAAACTGTCTGGCCACCCCACCCACACCGTGGCCTCGGCTCCCCCATCCAACAAAGGCAACAGCCACTGCCCCAGGTGGGAGAGGGAGGGAGAGCCAGGAGGGAGAAGGCCTGGCTCCTAGGCGGGGAGGAAATCCATGCCTGTGCAGGGGGTGGAGGAAGCCGTTCCTGAACCTCCATGTTTTGTTTCCGAGGTAGCACCGAGAGCAAGGTGCAGAGTGGCAGCAGGAGTGAGCCATGGCATGTGCAGAACGGCCGGGGGATGATACATGAGGTTTCCTTTATTTATTTTTTGGTACTTGGGATTGAACCCGGAGTGGGGGGACTTACCACTGAGCCACATCCTTTTTTTTATTTGCAGACAGGGTCTAAGTTGCTTAGAGCCTTGCTAAGTTCTGAGGCTGGCTTTGAACTTGCCGTCCTCCTGCCTCCGCCTCCTGAACCTCTGGGATTACAGGTGTGCGCCACTGCGCCAGCTTGTCAAAGGTTCTCGACATAAACTAGCAAAAACCAGAACTGGAGCCCCCTCTGCAGTGTCGACTCAGTGTGACCCTCCATTCCAGGCCTGGCCTCTGCTCCCACCCTTCTCTGTTCAGTTGACAGCCTGCCTCTTCCAGGAAGCCAAGTCACTAATGCCCACATAGCACCTGTCACAGGCCAGGCCACAGTGCTCTTGTGTAGATGAGCTTACGCGATCTTCATAACAACCCCATGAGGTAGGTGCTCTTACAGATGGGGAAATCGAGGCACATCTGTCTTTACGCATCATCTTGATAATAACTGGCAGTATTTGTTCCATTTTTCGGATGAGAACAAGGAGAGTTAAAGGAATGAGTGGCTCACCTAAAAAATCACTCAAAGAAGGGATGGCAGGGAGGTAGCTCCGTGGTAAAGCACTCACCTAGCACATGTGCAAGGTCCTGGGTTCAATGCCAGCTCTGCAAACACACACACACACACACACACACGGAGTTGAGGCAGGAATGTCTTATTTCAAAGCCTAAAGTCCTCTTTCCTCCCTAAACTTTCCCAGAATGTGCCTCCACCCCTCTCCCTGCTGGTCACCCGTGTGGAACTCATAGCTTTCTGAGGATGGAAATGCTTCCTGTCTGTGACTATGAGGGGACCTCCTAGCCTTCTGTTTGGTTGTTTCCACAGCAAGTTCTAGTTTAGCTCAAAATGTTGGATATGTCCCTGCAACCAACCCCTGTCAGTGCCCCAGGCTGATCCAGCGTGGGCTGACAATCTGGGCAGGGATGCTCACGTGTGTCCCCAGCACAGAGTGTGCCTGCCAATCACTGTTTGATAACTGTTAAATAACTGAGTGACCAGCGAGAAGCGGCCTTGGGTGGGATTACTGGGATTACTGTGCCGGCCACTGCTGATATCCCCTTGTTATTATTGTGGTTATCAATACCAGTCATGTACTGAGTGAGGACCACTAAGGGCCAGGCTGGACCGACTGCCAGATCCTCCTGAGGGACACTAGGGGCCAAGTGTCAAGAGCATTATCTATCTATCTATCTATCTATCTATCTTTCTCTCTCTCTCTCTATCTATCAGTACTAGGGATTGAACCCAGCAGTGCTCTACCACTGAGCTACATTCCTGGTCCTTTTTATTTATTTTTAATTTTTTGGTGCCAGGTAGCGAACCCAGGGGTGCTTAACCACTGAGCCACATCCCCAGCCCTTTTTATTTTTTTATTTTGAGACAGGGTCTCAGACACTGCTGAGGCTGGCTTTGAACTCTCGAGCCTCCTGCCTCAGTTTTCCGAGCTGCTGGGATTACAGGCATGCGCCACTATGTCTGACCTATTTTAATTTTCATTTTGAGGTGGGATCCCATTAAGTCACCCAGGCTGGCCTCAATCAAACTTGTGATCCTCCTGCCTCAACCCCCCTAGGAGCTTGGGTTGCAGGCAGGCGCCACCGCAGCCAGCTAGGAGCATTTTGAAGATGCTGAGACTGATGGATGCTAGAGAGGATAAATAGTTTGTCTCCAGAGTCACAGAGCTCAGTGAGTGACTTCAAATGACCCAGATTCAAATCCAGAGCTGCCTCTAAACAAGACCAAAAATCCAGGCTTAGATAACATAAGTGACTTTTTAAAAATTATTATTGTTTCTGTTTTGGTTCCCAAATGAAATTTAATTGAACTTTTACTAATATGGGCCAGATACTGGGGTAACAAGTGTCCTTTTAATCCTTACAAAACTGCTGAGTAGGGGTGAGTGGTGCTGTCCATGAAGCTCTGTGACCTGTAACTGTGATCTTGGACAAGGGCTTTTGAGGGTGTCCAGGTCTCTAGATGAGCATCTGCCCCAGGGGAAGGTTATAAAGCATTCTGAGCAGTGCAGGGGAGCATAGTATGTGCTTTATCAACATGAGCCATTTCATTCCCATTTCATAGATGCAGCAGGAAAACTGAGTCATAGTGCAAAGCCACAGTCAGGATTGAAACCATCTAACTAACCCAAGACTTGGCTCTGAACTGCTGTGCCCCATGGCCTCCTACTCACTAGGCAGCTGGGAGTGTTTAGCCAGCACGTGTGTGGAGTGCTGGGCATGGTGCCACAGGTACTAGGGGCTTGATAATGCTGTAGACGCCTCAGGTAGAGGGCTCAGCTGTGCCTGCCCGCTTCGCCCCAGTGCCTGCTGCTGGGATGGGAGGCCAGCCTGGCTCCCGATCCCCTGGATTGCCTGCTCCAGCCAGCTGCTCCATGGGAGTCCCCAAGCTGCTTCTCAGCACTCCCTTGGAGGCACAGGGGTGGGGCACCGGGAAACCTCCTCCACCCGGCTAGGGGCTGCCAGAGCCCCTGCCCACCCTTAGAAGGGGCTTCCCCGCCCTACACCAGCTGTGCAGACACTCTCTGCCTCTACAGGGGCAGGACAGGAAGTGGGGCAATGCCAGGACCAATTAAACCAGCCAGGGGAATTAAGGTCAGCAGGATGCAATTATGCCTGTTAGATTTAACAAGGCCAGAGGGAAGGTTTCTCCAGCCAGAGTTCGCGGCTCCTTAGGCCTCTTGCCCTGGGTAGCTCTGCCTTCCAAGAGCCCAGGCTCCCAGGCCCGTCCACCTCTGAGAATTAATCCGCAGCGGAGGGGTTAACTCCACCCGGGCACTGTTTCCTGGCTCCTAGGAGGAAATTGGTCCAGCCAAGAGGCTTTAAAAGGACCTGCTCAGAGGAGACATTCCCCCCCCCCTTTCCCTGCTCCCCTGTGATGGAAAATCCAAGGAGTTGAGCAACGACCTCTCGGACTCCAAAGAGAGCAGCCAACTCCCCTGCAACTTCCAGCCTGGTCCTGACCTGAGAGCCACTCGTGGGTGTCGTTGGCAAGTTCTGTTCTCTGGCCCTCTCCCACCTTGGGTCCCTGAGTGCAAAGTCCTGGCAGTACCTCTAGGGTCTCTGGAAAAGCCCTAGGTGAGGCTGTCGTCCCCTGGAGCAGCCCTGTCCTTGCTGCTAAGGCTGGTGGGCAGAGATCTGTGGACACTCTCTGTGGCACACTGGACACAGAATTCTCTGGAAGTCCAATGGACACACTGTCCTGTTCTAAAATTGTAGGATTTTATTTACTGAGTACTCTGGCCAGGACTAAACCAGCCACCTTGGAGACACAGAAATGAAGTTGGGGGAGGGCGACAGGATCACCATCTATTGCATTTTAGGTAAAAAAAAAAAAAAAAAAAAAAAAAAGATTGTGAAGTCCTTCATGGAATAGGGACTTCTCATTATTCAAAATATTTATAGAGGGGCTGGGGATGTGGCTCAAGCGGTAGCGCGCTCGCCTGGCATGTGTGCGGCGCGGGTTCGATCCTCAGCACCACATACAAACAATGATGTTGTATCTCTCGAAAACTAAAAAATAAATATTAAAAAAAATATCTCTCTTAAAAAAGATAATAATATATTTATAGAGATGTCTGGAGAGATGTAGGTACATATTAAGAAGTGTGGCAATGGAGAGGATTCCTATTC